AAGTGTGAGTGACATCCGGTCGTGTAACTGGAATGGTAATTATCTCTTTTCCAACTTGTCTTGATCTCTCCCTCCTCCCCATGCCAAAAAGTTTGATATAACTAATGATGTATTAGCCTGTAGAAGAATCACCGCAAACGAGCTTGTTCGCTACTTTGTGTTTTCTCACAATGGGTATGGATGATATATTCGAACAATTTGGCATGCATGTAACAAAAGACCACAAGTCCCGGCAACACACAAGGTAACGAACGGAACAGTCTATAGTTATTATTTCGAGTTGTGTGTGCGGTTCGTACGCCTTCTCATAGTTCGTTTGGAATCAGGGTTTTTGGCCAACTCCCCTAGGTGAACTGCCGGTGGTTCACCAATCAGGTTAGAGCCCCGGATGTTGGCTTTTCATTCTCTCACTTTGATGAGAAAACACTTCCGCCACGAGAAGGCAGTGAGTAGAGCAGAGGCTGTTCGAGATGCTTGGTCATTTTAAGAGCATTTCGTGAGGTGTAACGGAATGGTGACTAGTCATAATCGGAGACACACACACCCGATCGTAGTGAGGCTTTCATAAGGCTTAGGTAATATGGAGGACAGAGGATTTCTTTGCGGAAGTTTGTGCGACTAGTGACTTGATTTCGGAACGAGTGCTGGACAGTGATATATATTTGACTAAATCAATGTGGTAAAGTTGTGTTTTGATATGGTTCTACGTGCGTGCAAATATTGATAAGTGAGTAAGTGAGTGATGATCTTGGTGAGGGATCTCACCGCTTGTAGACAGGGGCTTAGGAATCAGTTTAAAGTCTTTCGGAAAGGAGCCAGAACACATTCATGTGGACGCATAAGGCAGTGGGGTAGAATGCAAGTACATACAAATCATTAGACCAGACAAAGAATTACAGGATACGATTTAAGGCTGACACAATGGAACGCTTCCTTAACTCAAGTGCAATTAAATAAAATGTTCACAACAAGTAAGATCTCGATTCAAAGCAATATCGACCTGCCTAGGGGTAGTTCTGATGTGTTTAATGCTCACCATACATGAGTAAGTCAGAACAGACACTGACTAGCGATTATCCTTGAATTTGTTACGTGATGTGGGGGTGAACCTGTTAACTCACTTTGAAATCAATGTCCGGATTCATCGGTTGTTATCACTATTGGCTAAGTGCTCCAAGGTTTCGGTCTGTTCATTGATCCCGTTCGTTGTTGGTGTTAAGTGTGACGAGGATAAATTGTAGCCGATAGTTGGTGCAAACTGTCTAACAGTGTGACTTGTTTCCCACTGTAAACAGTTTGAGATCGTTTATCGTTCGGGTTTTCAAATCCGATCTTTGAGTGCTTTGTCAGTGGTAACTTATTCCGTTGCTGATTGTCCTCATTTTCACCGGAGGGTAAATTTATCTTTGTTTTGCCAGCGTACATTAGAATGATGCTAAGTAGCTCAGCACGATTCTGCAACCGGTACACTTTTTCTGTATCTCATTCACCGGTACAATCTTGTCCTATTTCTGATTTGAAAATCAGGTATGGCAATTGGACTCGGCTTTGACCAATCCCCAATCCGGGGATTCTGACGATGATCCAGATGCGGATCCCGATGGAGACAACACTTCTGGAGATTCGGCTTTTCCACCAATCGCTGGTTCCAGTCCGGTTCATAGTCGGTCTTCATCNGTAGTGCACACGCAGAAGATTCAAACGCACCACCATCACTCCTGCTCCGGTCGTCCAGTATGGATGGTCTCGGTACCACAATGGGACGTCTCATCTGCTCGGTGTTCTCACCCGAATGTCGAGTAGTCGGTCTGCGTCCAGGTAACACGTACGCGTTCCGTGTCCGCGCGTACAATCGTGTTGGTTGGGGTCCCTGGACTGATTGGACTCGAGTCACTACGGTTCCTGGTCCGCCAGCCGCTCCGCATAATCCGCCTCGCGTGCAACCGTTGCCCGACACCGAACGCATCCGTATCGAGTGGGATCCAGTACGACGGGGCAATGGTGCTGCTGTGTCGGCCTATATTTTGGAGTGGCAACCCGTGTCTGGTCTCTCGTCGGGAACTAAAACCGAATTGTGTGACTTTCAATTGGTACGATTAGCTCAGCTCATCGCTGTTGTCACAATCTAGTCCGTCAACTCTGGTTGCTTCCAGATATATATTATCATTTTATTTTATTTTACACATTTTTTTCTCAACATGCAGACTATGTGCCGCACAAATCCAAGTACAATTTTTTTTATGAAACTGAACTTAATTCGTGGTTTGCTGATGAGCGGAATTCTGTCAAGTTGCCTGGGCTGAAGCAGGTAAATTATCCTAGAGATTAATTATCGGAGTCTTTGGATAGCCAAAACCTGATCCGCAAGGTTCGGTGTCAGTGTATGTGTGTGTGTGTGTGTGTAAATCACCATTCACTGGAGTTCATAGACCTTTTAGGTGAGGTGAAGTGTTCACTACCGGAATTGGGAAGGTGTTTTTCGCTCGCATCTTTAATTGGTTTGGAATCGGCATTGTTAAGCAATTTCCCTAGGCGGACCACCAATGGTTCACTTATCGGTTATAACCCCAGATGTTGGCTTTTCTTCCTTTCACCTTTATGGGACAACACGTCCGTCACGGCAGCAGAGGCTATGTGAGACCCTTGATCGTATAAAATCACTGCGCTAGATACAACAAGTTAAGGTTAACACAAGACACTCATCCCCGATAATACTGAGGCTTCCGTAGGCTTTTAACTGGACATTAATTTAATGTTTATTTACTCAACGAAATCAATTGAAATTGGTTTGAAACCATACTACTCCCGGCAATCAAGGTTGCACAACCTACTGGTGCATTGTAGGTTCATTTTCTGATGGCTACTGAGATCTTTTCATATCCAGTCGAAGTGTTCCAGAAATTGATTCATCAGCAACTAGCCAATCTATATGAGAGTTATTTCCGCTTCATCCCAATCACTTTCCAAAACTTATAGTTCACGCTTCTGCCATTTTACCCATTTTTCTAGTTGCTTATTTAATCACAAATTTTTCAACCCAAGTGGTTCACCGACCATGCGTATGATGAAACGTCGAACGCTGGATTAGCAATACTTCTAGCCTTAGTTCTCANAGTTCTCAAGCCTCGGTATGGTTGGGGTGGGTGTCTAGGGTTGCGGCTGGTCACCTTTCCCTTGCACCTCGCCAAATACTGCCCCTATACGACCAACTTCTCGAATAGCCTCTGCTGAGGAATTCTTACTGGCCGCCTTCTCTTGCTGTAGACGTGTTTTCTCACCAAAGTGAGAGGACGAAGAGCCAACATTCAGGGCTTTAACCGGGTTGGTGGACCACATGTAGTCCAATTAGGGGAGTTGGCCAAAAACCCTGATTCCAAACAAACCAAGGAGAGGCGTACGAACCACAAAACTTCCTGGTTGTGGCAGTGATCACCGGCTCTAATTGGCATCTAGGTGTTTGGGCACCCTGGACTTTTGACCCCGTCCAAAGGACGTATGATCCGATGAACTGGACACGGGCCCTCAGTTGCATGCGATTTTCTCACACTGTCCCGGGTCAGGCTTTGGCTATCCAGAGGCTCCGGTTGTGTGTTCCCCACGAAAATTCACCTGTCTTAGCCTGCGCAACCTGGCAGTATTCCGCCCACCTACAACTCATGGAACGTTCTTCTTTTCTATAAAGATTATTGTACCATTATTTGTTTTGCACACGATCTGGATTCAGACGAGTGTGAAAATATATGTCAAGACAGATATCTTCAATAATTGTCTTCTAACTTCCCTCAACTAGCTAGTAGTCACCTAACTGGTGTTCGTTTTTTTTTGCTTGCACCGCTTCATTTTTTTCCGCGAAATGTTGAAATGCAATAATCTTCATTTTCTTTC